CCTCGGCGATGTTCGCGGGGCTGCAGGACCTGGGCGTGGCCAACGGCGAGGACCTGAAGGAGACGCTCACCAACTGCACGGAGCCGCTCAAGGCCATCGAGCAGTTTCAGGTGGGCGGGCGAGGCCACGCAGGGGGCGCGGTCGTGCGGGAGGTGGGCAGGGCTTCCCCTTGGACGCCGCCTCTGTTCCCCGGATGGCGGGACCGGGTGTCCCGAGCTGGCGCCCGCAGACAGACACCTGGGTGGCTTTCAGTTTTTGTAGTTACAACCAGCGCTGCTGGGAACATCCTTGCAGCTGCCTCCTTACCTGCTCAGGGCACCGCGGGGCCTGGCTCGACATGGCTGCAGCTGTGGCTTCTGTCGTCCCCGAGTAAGCAGGATCGACCCCACGCTGACCCTGTTTCCTCAGACAGAGAATGGCGTGCTGCTGCCCTCCCTGCAGTCGGCCTTGCCCTTCTTGGACCTGCACGGGACGCCTCGGTTGGAGTTCCACCAGTCGGTGTTTGACGAGCTGCGGGAAAAGCTGCTGGAGCGCGTGTCAGCCATTGCCTCGGAGGGGAAGGCAGAGGAAAGGTAGGCGGGCAGGTGACATGGGCTTCCCCCTTCTCCATATGGGAACTGACTGAGCCGCACTCACTGTTCCCCACGTATCCCACCTGTAGAGACCTGTCCCATCAGCTGTCTCCTGCCTGGGAACAGGCAGGCGGCTGTTAGCTGACTTGGTCTTGTGCCACTTCCTCAGTCACCCGAGTCTTTCCAGGTACAAGAAACTGGAAGACCTTCTGGAGAAGAGCTTTTCCTTGGTGAAGATGCCGTCTCTGCAGCCGGTGGTGATGTGCGTCATGAAACACTTGCCCAAGGTGCGAGCTGCCTGCTCAAGCAAGGGCAGCTGGGAGGCATGTTCTCTGCGCCGGCTTCTCCCCGACAAGCCACGCAGAGACCGAAGCTTGGCATGCGAGTTGGGGTCGGGGTCCCTTTCTGGGAAAGACCTGTGTGTATTCAGCATGGCTGCCTGCAGCTAGTAGGGCCAGGGGGGTAGCCGCAGGTGCTCCTTTCAGTTGGGGCTGGGTTTGAGGATAAAAAGGGGTGGTGCTGAGGCCTCTTCACCTGTCTTGAGGCAGACCCTGGGGCACAGGAGCTGCTCACACGTGGCCTGTGTTGTCCTGTAGGTCCCTGAGAAGAAGCTGAAGCTGGTCATGGCTGACAAGGAGCTGTACCGGGCCTGTTACGTGGAGGTGAAGCGGCAGATCTGGCAGGACAACCAGGCGCTCTTTGGCGACGAGGTCTCACCACTGCTGAAGCAGTATATCCTGGAGAAAGAGACTGCTCTCTTCAGCACAGAGCTCTCCGTCCTGCACAACTTCTTCAGTCCTTCCCCCAAAACGAGGCGCCAGGGTGAGGTGAGGCAGGAGGCAGTGCTGCGTGTAGGGGGGAGGCTGAGGGGCCGCCCTGGCCAACCCTGTCCCCAACCCCCCTGAATGTTTGGGTTGTCTTGCTCCTGGAAGGGTAGGCTTGTGCCCATCTCTGGTAACGGGGGTTTGCAGCACTGTGCCCAGGTGTGGACCTCTTAGGTGTCATGCACTTGGCCCTCTGTAACTTGGCAAGTCTTCTCCATTAAGCTTAGCATGTCATCTTTCAGCTCTGGGGTGCTGTCTTCTGTTTTTACATTTGACTCATTAGTTACTTTAACAGACATTTCTTGAGTGCCAACTCCTTGCTATAGGTACCTGGGCCTTGCAGCATCCCTGGAGTTTGGGGTCACTTGCGTGGGGCACTTGAAGTCTCACAGGCCAAAGACGCTATGCAGTAAATGTCACATGTTGGTCACTGAGAGCTTGGGGGGTTGGACAAGGGCTATAGAGTTGTGAGGTTGCAGAAGAGCCAGATGGAGGTGTGAGCAGAGGCTTGGAGGAGGGGCAGGCTGGACTTTCCAAGGGTGACAAGGAGGTCAGTGTGGCCAGAGCCTAGAGCAAACAGGTGAGTGGGGTGGGGGTGAGGTTGGAGGGCCAGAAGCCACTGTGGAGACTTTGGCATTTCCCAGTGAGGTATCGGGGATCACTGAAGGTGCCTGACCTGGTTCCAGGATGACCACTCATCTAGGAGGGAGGCGACGGTGACAAGTGGCCAGGTGCCAGCAGAGTGGCGTTGGATGTTTTGTTGCATTCTTTCACATTCAGCTTTTACCTGGAGCTTTGTGTGTTTGGTGGGGGTTAGGATGTGGCCTCATGTTTCTCCCAAACGTCTGGCCCGTGGTCGCACACCACTCCCTGAACGAGCCTAGGAGCATGTCTCTGTGCCTCTGCCTTCCTGTTTGTCTGAAGGGAGCTGGGCCTTCAGCTGTTGTCTGCCGTGGTCTCCTGTCCCTTCACGCTCCCCTCCAAGCCAGGGTTCCCTGCTATGGGGCCTGTACCACTGCAAGGGGAGAAGTTGGCTGCAGGTTCACACATTACCCTGTGGTCCTCGGGGTGTGGCTCAGCCCCTAGAACCCTGGTTGTGTGCCTGGCAGCCCTGGGTTGTGGCCATCCTGAATTGTGCCCCCCTTTTGAGTATGTTAGGTCCTCAACTGGGCCTGAGTCTCCCCATGTAAGCTGTCTGGGTGGACCGGGGCCACACCTCCTGAGGCCTTTGGTGGAATCTGAGGTCACAGGCCGATAGCCTTTCAGAGAAGCTGTGGGCCTGACGTGGGCTTCACCTCCTTAGAAACCAGAAACACCACCACCCTACACAGAGCCAGTGTTTGGCGAGAGAGGAGACTTTCAGCCCAAAGTAGGAAGAGCGCCTGGCAGGGAGGTGGGCGGTTGTGTTGCCGTGGCCATTCATTTGTGTCACCCATGGCTGTTTTGTGCCACTGTGGTTTTGTGTCACCGTGGCCATTAGTGGCACCGTGGCCACCTGTATCACTGTGGTTGTTGACGTCGCTGTGGCTGTCCGTGACATCGTGGCCGTGGGCTGTCTCCCTCCAGGTGGTGCAGAAGCTGACGCAGATGGTGGGGAAGAACGTGAAGCTGTACGACATGGTGCTGCAGTTCCTGCGGACCCTCTTCCTGCGGACACGGAATGTGCACTACTGCACACTGCGCGCAGAGCTGCTCATGTCCCTGCATGACCTGGATGTGGGTGACATCTGCTCCGTGGACCCCTGCCACAAGGTGGCGCCCTGCCTCCCCAGCCCTGTCCTCACTCAGTCCCCTTCCCTCTTGTCTCTTTCTTGGCTTCTCTCCTCCCTGGTGGATGCTACGGTCCTGGTACCTGGGCTCTGACTGCCCACCCCCCTGACCACCAAGTATGCATCAGCCCCTCCACCACGCTGCTGAATTGGCTGGGCAGGTGGGGTCCATGGCTGTGTGTCATCACCTGTCAATCCATCACTTCCTCCAGTCCATCTGGGCTGCCCTGAGGCTCCACCTGGATCCCTCTCCAGCCTCCTCCAGGCTTTGCGGGGCCTCTGGCCCTCCCCTGTTCTGGAGCCCTCCGGCTGCTCACTGGCGAGCACCGTACTCCAGGACCTGGGCTTTTTCCACTGTCCTTGTCCCAGCACAGATGCGGTGGAGCCAAGACAGCACCACCTCCCAGGGGCTGTGGGGTGTCACACTCTGAGACCCCCAGTGGGGCCACCAGAGAGGGGGCCCCTTTTAGAACAAAAATATTGTCTCCTCCACACACCGCCAGACCAGTGGGGACTCAGGCCTTCAGGCCTGTTTGCTCTGCACCGTCCTGTTCCTGGTACAGGTCCTGGCTCTGAGCCTGACTGTGGCGAGGTGACGCAGTGGCCTGCCTGAGGCCTCCTGCCAGGTCCTGACCATGCTTCTCCGTAGTTCACCTGGTGCCTGGACGCCTGCATCCGTGAGCGCTTCGTGGACAGCAAGAGGGCACGGGAGCTGCAAGGCTTTCTCGACGGAGTGAAGAAGGGTCAGGAGCAAGTACTGGGGTGAGGGTTGGCCTCGTGTGGACCCCTAGCCCCCGGGTCCTGTCCACGGCACCCAGAGGAGCATGCTTGTCCACTGCAGTGCTTATATGGCTGAGACACGGCTGTGGGGTGCCCGGGCTGGGCTCTGGTGTCTGCATCTTGGGGTCTGCCGAGGGCAGGGGGGGAGCCTGTCCTGGGGACTGCTGTGCCCATTGCTCCCATAGTTGTCTCTGGGGCCCTGGCTGAAATTAGAGTCTGCGTCAGGTTCTCAGAACCAGACGTGGCCTTAATTTTCTTAAGAACTTTAAACCCCTCATTATTTTCAGTAAGTTAAGTGCAGGTTTCAAACTGAACTGTGAGCTTTTTTTTGATGGAGTCGAGTGGGGTGGGCTTGTTCCTTGTGGAGGGACCGTCTCCCTGGGTCAGAGTCTGAGGCAGCCCAGCCTGTGGCTGCCCCTCCGTGGGCCAGCCAGTTCTCACGTTAATGCCGGGGCTTGTCTTTGCAGGGATCTGTCCATGATCCTGTGTGACCCCTTCGCCATCAACACCCTGTCACTGAGCACTGTCAGGCACCTGCAGGAGCTGGTCGGCCAGGAGACACTCCCCAGGGTGAGTGCACTTGGCTGGCCACATGCTGCCTTCAGGGGTGGGGGGAGTGGGGAAGGTGGACCAGTGGCGGCCAGGTCTTTGCCACCACGGTAAGCACACGCTCCCCACGCGTGAACTGTGCAGAGGAGCCTGTGAATAAAGCCTCGGCACCAGGACCCTGCTGAGCGAGCGGCGAGGTCAGGAGAGAGTGAGGGTCAGGTGAGCTGGCGCTGAGGCCCCATTCCCTCCGCAGGACAGCCCTGACCTCCTCCTGCTGCTCAGGCTGCTGGCACTGGGCCAGGGGGCCTGGGACATGATCGACAGCCAGGTCTTCAAGGAGCCCAAGATGGTAATGGGACTTGGGCGGGATCCTTCCCACCACTTCCTTTCGAGGGGCTGCGGGGCTGGTGTCGGGACGGTGGCCGAAGGGCAGGACAGTGGCGGAGCAGCGGGTGTGCCTGGATGAGCTCCTGCTCTCCGCTCTAGGAGGTGGAGCTCATCACCAAGTTCCTGCCGACGCTCATGTCCTTTGTGGTGGATGACCACGCCTTCAACGTGGACCAGAAGCTCCCTGCTGAGGAGAGGGCTCCAGCCACCTACCCAAACACGCTTCCAGAGAGTTTCACTAAGTACCGTTGGAGGGCGTAGGTGGGGGTGCGCCCTGGGGCTCCTCAGGAGGCTGTGTACGGCGCTGCTCAGGGCTGGGGGCTCCTGCCACAGGTTCCTGCAGGAGCAGCGCATGGCCTGCGAGGTGGGGCTGTACTACGTGCTGCATATCACCAAGCAGAGGAACAAGAACGCGCTGCTCCGCCTGCTGCCCGGGCTCGGTGAGTGGGGCTGCCCGCCTGCGGCAGCCGCGTCCCCGCGTCCCTCCTGCTGGCCCCTCTGAGGGCCGGCTCCCTTCACTGGGAAGGGTTTGTCTCCGGACGCTGTCTTGGTACAGAAGCTAAAGGGGCTCAGCCTTGTGCTCTCACGGACGCCCTCTGCTCGTCACCGCTGGTCGAAGTCAGTTCTTTCCACGGCGGTGTGAGAGCGCCCCCAGCGTCATTCTATTTGGCAGGGGCTGTGCAGCCTCTCAAGTCCTCAGACGTCAAGAGAGTGCCCCCGGCCCTGGCTGGAGGGCTCAGCGGTTAGAGCGGCTGCCATAGACTGAAGGGTCTCAGGTTTGATTCTGGTCAAAGGCACGTACCTGGGCTGCAGGTCTGGTCCATGCAGGAGGCAACCAATCGATGTGTCTCTCTCACGTGGATGTTTTTCTCTCTCCCTTCCACTCTCTCTGAAAATCAATGGAAAAAATACTCTCAGGCGGGGATTTTAAAAAAACAAAAGAGAGAGAGATAGGGCCCCTGAGAGTGGTGAAGAGGCCACTTCCCCGGGAGGACGGGGTGGGTGGGTTGCTGCCAGCCAGGAAGAGGAGAGAGAGGTCTGAGTGGACCACTTCAAGCAGACCGAGGAAGCTGCAGGTTGAATCGGGAAGCGGCTCTGGAGCACGTGGCTCCCACTGTGCTCGTAGGCCCAGCGGCCCCTGCTGGCTCAGGGCTTGTCTCTGTAAAGGCCCCATTCTCACGAGTGTTTCTAGGTCACTGACGTTTCCGATGAGGAAGCATGTGTTGCTTCCCGATTTCTCTGTGGGGAAGCTGTCTCTTTGTGGTATCAGTTTACACCGAGCCACCATCTAACCCAGCAACACAGGCTTGTTTTCTTCCCACTCTGGAGGTCAGGGCTCAAGCCACGGTGTGGGCAGGGCAGGCTCCTTCTAGAGGCTCCGGGTGACATGCTGGTCGCATAGGTCTCCTCAGCTGCGAGGAGCCGCCTGCATCCTTGGCTGGTGGCTCCCCTTCCACCTTCACAGCTCCTCCGTCCAGTTCCTCCTGTCCTCATGTTCGTCCCTCTGACTCAGGCCCTATGCTGGGGCCACCGGCTTGTGCAGGGTCATCTCGTCTTGGGCCCTTTCCTCCTGGGTCCCAGGCCCCAGCTAGGGTGTGGGTGGTGGGTGAGCTGGCTGACGCCCTCTCTACCTGCAGTGGAGACCTTCAGCGACCTGGCCTTCGGCGACATCTTCCTGCACCTGCTCACGGGGAACCTGGCGCTGCTGGCCGAGGAGTTTGCCCTGGAGGACTTCTGCAGCAGCCTCTTCGATGGCTTTCTGCTCACCGCCTCCCCCAGGTACGCAGGCTGCGGGGTGGGGGTGGGGGCACCGCTGGGCACGAGGGGAGCAATGCAGCCATGGCCTCTTGCAGGAAGGAGAATGTCCAGCGGCACGTGCTGAGGCTCCTCCTACACCTGCACCACCGCGTGGCGCCCGCCAGGTTGCAGGCCCTGCAGAAGGCACTGGAGCCCACAGGCCAGGTGGGTGCCACCCACCCATACCCGGGGGGGTGCCTCGTGTGTCCTGCGGGCTGCCCCACAACCCTGCACTTTCCACAGAGTGGAGAGGCCGTGAAGGAGCTTTACTCCCAGCTCAGCGAGAAGCTGGAGCAGCTGGACCACCGGAAGCCAAGCCCAGCCCAGGCTGCCGAGACCCCGACCCTAGAGCTGCCCCTCCCCACCGTGCCTGCTCCAGCCGGGCTCTGACGCTTCACCGAGACTGCTGGGGAGTTGACAGGGCTCCTGGGGGGGACACGGCCAGGAGAAGGGCCTGCTGGACCTGACGCTGTTGGGGCCTGTATCTGCTGGAGGCAGAATGGTACCGAGGGCGATAGGTGGTGGGCTGAGCTGAGACCCTGGGGTCATCCCATGGGCAGGGTGCCCTGTGCCTCAGCCCCACCCTGACCTGGGGCCTGAAAGTTGTGTGCAGTGTGAAGGGACCCAAGTGCCTGCGCCTGGCTCCTTGCTGCCACGCTGTGTTCCTACAAGCCCCCGTGGGTGTGCCCTCCTCTGGGGGAACAGCAGGCGGCAGTGGGGAGAGGAAGCCACGTTTTCCAAGGGGAGCGGGTGGGATGGTGTGGTGCACAGATTGGTAACTGCTGGGACACCCGGCCACTCTGAGGACCTGAGTGTTTGAGAGTGGACAGTCCACTGCACCGGGGCCTGCCGGCAGGGAACGCACCTGCCCTGACTGAGGAAAGCCCAGGCCCCGCCTACTGCCTCAGTTTACCCTTGGAGTGGTGTGCGCCTTGCTCAGCTGCACTGTCTCCTGTGTAAATAAACAGCATTTTGGTAAATCCAGCTGTTGGGCTTCTCTGCGCCAGGGGTGGGGTGGGGTCAGCTGCAACACATGGGTCAGGCGCCTTCTCGGCATTTCTCTCTCTGTGGCCACAGTCGCATGGGAAGGCTTGGACTTGTCAGGGCCGCTCGACAGTCTACACGGGACACAGTCTACTCTGGGCAGGCCTTCCCGCTGCCCCAGTGTTGACATGCTGGGGGTCCTGCTCCATGGAGGCCAATGACCTCGACAGGTGCAGCTCTGCAGGTGGGGGAGGGCCTGGAGCCAAGGGGGCAGGTGGCCGAGGAAAGCAAAGGTGCAGGGGG